AGGAAAAAACCTTGCGAGTTAGCAGGGTTAAGGACATATTGATCATAGGTGAGGAGAAGAAGGGGGCGGAGGAAGAAGGGGAGGGGGAGAATGAGAGGTGTAACTAAGTTCAGGGGGATAAGATAGGCAGATAAAGAAGAGGTGGGAAGTGAGACAGGTAGGGGAGACACTAGTAGGGAGGGGGTACAGGGGAGGTAGGATTGCCTAACTAAATGTCCTACTTATGTACACTGGAATGAGTTATCATATAAACATATTTACAGAAAAGACCAGGCTGTAACTGAGTATCAATCCGGTTCCAAAGCCCAGGCTCTCCTGCATTCCAACAATCTGGAAAACAGAAGTCTGCCTTTCTGATCTGGGATCGCCCAGCAGTGTCCTCTGGCCCATTTCTTCGCAAATTTCTGGGATTGAATCTCCAAGGGCAAGGAGGATTTGCGTTGTCTCCGCCAGTCTGCATCAATGATGTCTCTGAGGCCTCTTGTCATAGCGAACTTAGCTCTGTCCAAATTGACCGGGACCCCTTTGAAGCGAGCTTCATTCCTTTCTCTCCATAGAACCCACATTCCCAAAATTCTTACCATCCCCACCATATCCGAGTATTTGGCCTCTCCACCTGATAGAATACAGGCATTGTTCCATCTGCAAGTATCCCTTGTGTCCTGATGTGCCTGGTCCCACAAGTGTTGCCACCAGTTCCAAAATCTCTGTGCAAAGTCACAATCCCACCAGATGTGAGACTGCGTTTCGATAATGTCTTCCGAGCACGAGATGCAGAAAATACTTACATCCATTCTTCTTCTGACACACCAACTTGCCGAGGGGATACAGAGGTGAATGAACAACCATTCAAGGCTCGCATGTTTCACAACTGGAAGTTTCTTCAGGGTCCTGCCAAAATTCTTCGCCCAGGAGAGACTACAAGATGGCAGATCAAGCTTTGCCTGGTTAGTGTCCCAGGCTGCCTTGACAACCACGCACAGTTTATTCGCCTTGGACTTCAATCTATACCCCAGAGACACAGTGTATTCCAACAGTGAGGACTGGGCCCGTTCTCCAGAGATATGTCTCCATCCATAGGTCTCAGCATCTACCTTGCTCATCGTGATAGGTCGGCCATCCATCAGCAGTTGGTAGGAGGGGACCATACCTTCGACAGATTGCTTGGTAGACTGTCGGACGCGAATCAGTCTGCAGAGGTTTGTAGACAGCGTAATTTTGGGGTGGTTAGCACCACCGCAGCAGGGTTTGCAGGGTTACTTTCCTCTTCTTGTTCGGCATTCCCTGCTCTTTTGAGATCGTGCCTGCCTTCCGTCCACTTGGAGCATCTCAAGAGGTCATCGTCCAAAACTTCTTCAATGAGCCAGTAGTATCGGGGCTCATCAGCCACGACCACCGACATTCCTTTCTGAAAGGGATCATTTCGGAGTAAGTTGATCCATTTGTCGGGTACGGCCTGTTTGATGAGAAACAAGCAGTCATGGATGTTCTGCACACCATTCAGTATGACCTCGATCTCCCTTTGCTCCTTCCAAACCTTCTTTTCCTCATCCCAGAGGTCCCGAATCTGGGTAATACCTTTCTGAGCCCATCGAAGACCAAAACCGGTGTTTCCCTCAGAAATTCTAATGGGGCTACCTTCCTCCGTTCRGATGAAAGGGTTTTCGAAGATTGGCTGAAGTAAGACTTCATCCCTAGCTGTCGGCTCTTTGATTAGAGTTGGAAGGATAGACTTCCAGGCTCTGATGATTGGGGCCCAAGTTTCTGACTTGGTCCTCTTGTTCAGGAATGGCTGTAGCAGAATGCAAATCCATACATCTGAGGGTCTCGAGAGACCCCATTCTTGTGCCAAAATCCGTTCCGCCAGTAGTATCCACGGTTTCCTATCTGTCTCCAACATGCCCCGGACCACCCATTTGCACAAGAGGGCTTGGTTCTGGATAAGAGGGTYCAGGATTCCCAAGCCTCCCTTGTTACGTTTCTGAACAAGTTTCCACCAGGCTACCTTGGGAAGGACACTATTGCATTCCACAGTGCCCTTCCACAGATACTTGGTGGTGGCTTTCCGAATCCTCTTAGCAGAGGATGGGCCTATCGGTCTTATGGAGAGGACATACCACAGAACAGATAGGACGGCAGCATTGATCACTAATGCTCTTCCGAATAGTGAGATCGACCAGAATGAGGACCATTTGGTCAGTCTACTAWGCMSTTTATCTTCCAATATCGTGTTTTGCCTWAGTTGGCAGTYGGAGAAGGAAATCTCAACCCCGAGGAATCTCTCAGAGTCAGAGTTATTTCTGATTTCCAGACCCAAGTCTAAGGCCAGCGGATCATTGTTGCGTGACAAGACTACAGATTTCTGCCAGTYGACTTTAGCCTCGGAGRCTTTCTCAAAGATTGACAGACACTGGGATATRGCTCTAAGTGAAGACTCAGAGTTTTCAGATATGACAGATAAATCATCAGCGAGTGCAGAGGCCTTGATCTCATGTTCGGAATCCAACTTGAGACCCTTGATGTCATTGGAACATCTAATCATGTTGAGCAACACTTCTTGCTGAAAMACGTAMAGCAAGGGTGCCAGCGGACAACCTTGTCTTAGCGAGCGAGTGAGCACGAAGGGTTCAGACTTCTTGCCGTTGATGATGACTGAGGCCTGCGAGTCCTGGTACAAGAAAGTAACCCAGCGTATGAAATTGGGACCAAATCCTCGTCTGTCAAGTACTTCCAGGGTGAATTGCCAATCCACCCTGTCATATGCTTTCTCAAAGTCAATTAGCAGTAGGACCTCATCAGATTTTCTGGTTTTAATTATTTCAATGACTTGGGCAATCGTCATTATGTTGTCCAAGACTTGTCTGCCTGCAACGAAACCAGATTGGTCTGGATGGATCAAGGAGGGGATTATCTTCCGAATTCTTAGGGACAGGACTTTGGCCATAATTTTTCCTGAAGCATTCAGCAGAGTGATGGGGCGCCAATTGCGGACTTCGGATTTATCATTCTTCTTGTGTAGGAGGGAGATAGCTCCCTCCATCATGCCCTTTCCTAGCTTGTACCCATCTAATACTTCGTTGAAGATTCGGAGAAGAAAAGGGCCAAAGATAGTCCAAAACTTGTTGTAGAACTCAGTTGGAAGACCATCCTGTCCAGGGCACTTTCCTGTAGCCATACTGTTAAGCGCTCGAGTGAGTTCTGGCAGGGTGATCTTTTCATCTAGTTCCATTCGGGTGGGAGGAGGAATCCGAGTGGTAAAGTTGCCCCACAGTGTGTCCTCATACTCGGGATCTACAAGAGGCTCGTCGACGTTCTTCTCCGTAGTGAGCAGCTTGGAGTAGAACAGTCTGACGTAGCTGCATATTTCATCTGTAGTTCTAGCCAGGGGGGCCTCGTCATCAAAGGGGTGTTTCATCTCCCTCATGATGGACTGACCTTCCTTGGTCGAGGCTTTGGCGAAAAACTGCTTCGTCATTCTGTCTTGGCTCACTATTTTCGATACGGCCCAATGTTGTGCCCACTGTTCTTCTCTGTGGATTTGGAAATTTTCCCATTCCGCTATGATTCTATCCCTTCTTTCTGCCCAATAGTCCTGAGAGGGCCCTCCCATACTCATTAGCCTTTCTGCTTCTTCCACCTTCGTTCTGAATGAATTTTCCTTTCGTAATCTGTTTCTAGCATGGACGAAGGTGAAGAACTGCAGCCAACCTGCAGTTTCTTTGATTCCTTTGTCAAATCTCTCAGTGAGTTTCTGCTCTCCCTCTTCCTATTGGTTCCATTCCTGCCAAAACCCATTCTGCCACTCCTTCATCTTCCAGTATGCACAAATTCAATCTGAACAGATCATTCTGTCTGATTATCGGATCTGCTGCACTGAACTCCAGGGTGATGGGCTTATGATCAGAAAGTGGATCTGTGTGTACTTCAGATGAAAGGATTCTATCCCAAATTTCAGCTCTGACTAGCCAGTAATCCAAACGTTTTTGGACTGCCGGGTCATCAAGTAAAATCACTTCGTGTAGGGAACAAGCATCTGTGTGCATCCAACAGATCGTGGTCTCTCATGAATTGTTTGAACCTCCTTGCATGCCCTGCATGAATATGATTTGTGGAGGAATCGAGGGTAAGATCTACCGCCATGTTCCAATCTCCTCCAATGATTAAGTTGGAGGAGTCGGGGATATAATAATCAATCACATCCATGAAGAGAGAGCGTTCTCTATGATCCGATGACATGTACATGGAGAGAAAAGTCCATTCTTCCAGTTTGACCCAGACCCATCGCCCGAAAGAGTCTGCCCATGAGTCAATCACTGAGCATTGAAGGTCCTTATGGACAAGGATGGTCATTCCCCCTTTTGAGCCGTCCGCAGGGGACCACCACTGGGGACCCAACCACCATCCTTTCATTTTGTTGATCTTATACTGGGACAACTTCGTTTCCTGGAGAAGTATGATGTGTGCTTTGTGTTGATGAATCCAGGTTCTCAATCGTGACTTCTTCCTTTTTTTATTGTTGCCACTAATCCCTCGCACATTCCAAGATAAGACCTTGACTTTAGCGTTCATTAGTGGCTGACTGTGGGCCCTTAGATTGGATAGGCGTAGATGTTGTGCGGTCTGAGGTTTTGGGCCAAGGGGCCTTCAAGGCGTCTTTGAAACTTTTCGACGCAAAATTCTTTGAAGCTGTATCTTCTTGTGCAGAGTACCCAGATACTCGCCCCGGATACCGTCCAGGATTTGAATCAATTGAAGGTCCCCCTTTGCTGTTGATCGGAGCCACTGTGATGAAACCCAGTGGAGTCCGGCATCCGCAATTTTGGGATCTACTCCCTGTTGGATTCTCACATCCAGAAGGGGAACAAAGAGATGATACGTTTGGCCTGATTGGCCAGTGAGTACTCCGCTGCGGTCTAAAGCGTAGTTGGGGAGTAGGCGTGCATCGTACCTGCCGCTGAGGAAACCTTGGATCAATGTCAATGCACTGTTCAAGTCAGGGGGATAATCTATCTTCCAGGTAGGCATAATCAAGGGTCCTTGTGCTTGTGATACGAGTAGCCATTGGGGCTCCGTTGGCCCATTCCTGAAGATTAGTGGACAGATTACATTTTGAATCTGTAAACCTTGTTGCACATGAGATAGGGGAACTGTGACTGTTGCTTTATCTCGTCCTTTCCCTGATGAGCCAAGACCTGCCTGCAAAGAGATTTCCTTTTGCAGGGAGGCTTCAAAATGGGCACAGAGAGACGATTCACCCACGGAACAGATCGTGGCTGTCAAACACCTCTGCCAAAACCGTTCAACCAAGAAAGGCAGAATCCTCCACGCGATCTCTCAGTATCCATCCCCAAGCGGAGAGGCGAAGCATTTGAAGAAGTAGACGAAACCATCCAGCTCTCGCCTTCCAAAATAGCCAGGGCCTCACCAGACCACACCTCCCCATCCTCTTCACAACCATCAACAAGCGTCCATGGGATTGGAGAGACTGGCAGTGTAGGCGGAGTGTCTCATTTTGTCCCCCCTTTTTGTTTTACTTTTGTTTGTTTTGTTTGATTGATTGATTAGTTGGTGGGGGATGGGTCCCCCCCCCCACACTCACCCAATCACACACAACACACACACACACACACACACACACACACACACATACACATACACACATACATATACACACGCACACACACACTTACTTGCACCGGATTTGAAAGCGGCTTTTTCCGTTTTTCCTTTACTTTTTTTTTTTTTGATTGATTGATTGATTGATTGGTGGGGGATGGGCCGCCCCCTCCACCCCCACCCAATCACACACACACACACGCTTACTTGCACGGGGTTTGAAAGCTGTTTTTT